AAGCCAAATCAGCACAGAAAATAAATTAACGCACAAAACACATACCTCAACAGAGGGAACAACTTGCTCAGAAGTCCCTGCAATAGCCACTTGGGGAACCTCCCCAGGCGAAGGGCTCCCAGTGAGATCGACTGCATCGGCATATGCAGCCTTGGAGGTCTCTCATTTGAATTTATATTTTATACATAAGATAGTTTAAATATATATGTTTATTTTATTAGAATATAATTTTTATTTTTTTAAAATATATATCTTTTTTTGGATAAGAGAAATATGTATGTGTAAATTGTAGTGGGGCAAGTGCCCCCACACTCCTCCATGTAGATCTATCCTTGCTTGTATAAAATTCATAAAAAAGAAGTGATGTTATCACTAACAACCTAGTTCAAATTATAAAAACAAGTGGTGTTATCAAATACAACTCTACATATACAAAATATGTTAGAAAATAAATTTAATAGAACACAAAAAAATATATTTAGATTTTTCAATAAAACCAATATCAACAACACAATGAATATTATAAAATTAAAATAGAGCAATCAGTACAACTAATTAAACACAAAGAGCAAATTAGAATATTAAATAATAGGTTTAGAGTAGCCTGAGTTGAAGCACGCACAATGTTATCCTTAGAGAGAAAATGCTCCCACTGCACTGGTAATTTAGAGTCTTATAGTGCGCTCCTCTCCCAAGATACGTCAACCCGTTAGACCGTTCGAGTGCAGCAAAAGATCTCCGAACCAAAGAACACAGCTCCAAAATTATAATTTTGTAGTAGAAATATACATATATTACTAAAGTTAATACGATTAGGCGTTACATGTTTACTGTAGAATTTTCATGTAGATTTGCAGAGAAATAAAAAAAAATGTGTCTTACAGATTTTTTCTCATCTCTTATTTTCACAAAAGTATATATACACCATGTCCTATTTTCTTTCTATTTCTTAGATATCAATCTGATCCTTAGAGATGACAAGAAAATATATACACGAGTGTCGCTAATTAGTGTAAAAGGATATATGGGATCTTTTTCCCCAAAATTGGGATTTTTCCCCCAAAAATAGGTGAGATTTTTTAAATAAAAAATGAATAATTCTTTAAAAAGTATGAAAATGAATAAGCTTACGTGAAAATTGTATTTCAAAATATGATTTCTATTTTTTTACCTTTAAATTAAAGTCATATTAATCACGATTTCTTTATGACTTGTTTCTTTATTTATGGTTAAATTGGTGATTTTTTATGAACAAAAATTTTGGAACTATTCAATGACAATTATCAAATGGGCTTAAGAATTAGTTATTTAAGTAGTAATTTTAATAAGTAGATTCAACTCATGAGATATAAATAAGGTTTTATATCATTAAAATAAATAATAAATGAAGATTTGTAAAGTACATACAAATGTCATTGGTTAAATGCCTTGTAGATAATGATAAAATAAAATAAAATTATGAGAATGAAATTTAAAGTTCACAAAAAATATTACCATTATGAAATTGTG